TCCTCCTCTCCCTCTCCCTGTCCTTCTCTTTCTTCCTCCCTCCCTCCTTCTGTCTCTCCATTTCTTTCTCTTTCTCTCTCTGTCTCTCTCTGTGTCTGTCTCTGTGTCTGTCCCTGTCTGTCTATTTGACTGTCTGCTTTTCTCTCTCTCCTTCCCTCCCTCCCTGTCTCTCCATTTTTCTCTTTCTCTCTCTGTTTCTGTCTTTCTCTCTGTCTCTCCATTTCTTTCTCTTTCTCTGTCTCTCTGTTTCTTTCATTCTGTGTGTGTGTCTCTGTCTCTGTATGTGGCTCTCTCTGTCTTTATCTCTGTGTGTCTGTCTCTGTGTGTGTCTGTCTCTCTCTCTGTCTGTGTCTCTCTCTGTGTCTGTCTCCATCTCTGTGTCTGTCTCTCTGTGTCTGTCTCATCCTTGCTTCCTTCCCTGAGTTCTCTCCACTGTCAAGATGCTTCTTAATTTCATTTGCTTCCTTCAAACCTCAGCCCACATCTTCTACAAAAAAGCCTTTCCTGAACCTTGCTGCCCCCAACAGCTAGTCTTCTCTCTGAGATTACTGTCTCTTTACACTGACTGTACATATCTTGTGTGTCTAATATTGTTTACATGTCACCTCCCCCATTAGAATGTACATTCCTTGAAGATAGGCATTCTTTTTTACCTCTCTTTGCATCTTCGGCACTGAGGTGCCTGACACATAGTCATTTCTTAATTGATTGACTGACTGGTTGATTGGTTGGTATGGGTGAAGGAGCCCTTGGACTGGGAATTAAAAGACCAGCCTTTGTCCCAGCTCTGCCACTTAGCTGTGTCACCTCAGGCACTTTCCTGCTCCGGGCCATACGAAATAATAAAATATAAAATGGGAATAATAGTATTTGCTCTCCCTATCTCAGAGGGTCATTATGATGGAAATGCCTCATCAGTCTCCAAAAGCTACTGAAATGCCATAGGAGATCGCCTACTTCAGGACATTTCTCCATCTATCTGCCTGTTTTCCTCCTTCCCTCCAATCCTCCTTTCCTCCCTCCTTCAGATTCTGCTTCCTCCTCCCCCCCCCACCCAACGCCCCCCGCTGGGTTAAAATTAGCCACATTTAGAGGAAGCTGTTTCATATGCATCAGCAAAGTCTGCATTCACAGGGAGTTTGGGGGACAAAGCTTACTGATGAGGGCAGGTGCCAGGCTCCCAGCTCCTCTCCCTTTCCATCCATCCCAAAGGGGCCGGTTCTCCCCCACTACCCTCCCTCATTGCCCTTCCTTTGGGAGCCTCAGAGCCCAGACGGTGACAAGGAGGCTGCAGTGGGGCTCAGGGGTGGGGGCAGGTAGCATTATGCTACAGATGTGTACTCTGATTCCACCCTGGCCCCCCAAGCCCACTCAAGTCAGGAGCTCTTCATGTTCCCCTTAAACGTGTCCTTTCTTCCAGTTTCCTGATTTCTGGCACTGCCATCTTCCCAATCAACCAGGGCCTAGGGTTCAGGACCTTAGAAATCACCCTGAGATACTTATTGCCTGGGTGACCTGGGGCAAGTCACTTAATTTCTTGGGGCTTCAAATTCCTCATCTGTGAAATGGGGTGTTGGACTGGATCAGAAATCATAGAGCTGGAAGACCATCAGGCCTGATTCTCTCATTTTACAGATGAGGAAAACAAGAGATTCACCCTAGGTTACAGAGATGGCAAGTACCAGAATCAAGACATCTCCCTTCAAAGGCCAGGACCAGTCAGCTGTCAGGTGCTATTGATTCTATTTCTATAATTTCCCTTAAATTCACCCATGGCAAAGAGGAGAACTGCACCAGATTAAAAGTCAGAGGGCAATGACACAGGCCCTCATTACTTCTTACCTGGACTACTCTAATAACCTAATTAGTTTCTCTGCCTCCAGGTACACTTACCTCTCTAATCCACATCCTCCACACAATAACCAAGAAATTATCCTAATTTGCTGTTCTGACTTGGTCACTCCCCTGCTCAAAAATCTTTAATGGCTCACAATGACCCCTACAAATTCCTGTTCCTGGCACTCAAGGCTTCTCACGGTCTGGCTTGATGTGAACTTTCTAGCCTTCCATGATGCTACTCACCTTCACGTGCTCTCAATCCAGCCAAATTGGATTATTTGTTGTTCCCCATTCTCTATTTCTTTGATACAGTTTTGGTGCCTGGAATGGACCCCTACCTCCTCCCTGACCCTGCCCCAACTCCTTTATGTTGCACCCTTTATCTTCTAAGCTTTTTGGGGGCAAGGGTCATGTCTTTATAATCCAGCACTGAGCACAGCACCTAGCTACAGGGGTGCGGAACCTACGACCTCGAGGTCACGTGTGGCCCTGTAGGTCCTCAAGTGTGGCCCTTTCACTGAATCCAAATTTCACAGAACAAATACCTCAGTGGCACATATCTCTGTATTTACTTCCAGGGCCAAACATGACCCTGCAAAGAGAAGGTGTTTAGTAAATGATTGTTGAATGAATACATCGATGAATCACAGCAAATTGAAAGAATGAATGAATGAAGTGAATCACTGAATGAAGTGAACAAATGAATGAGCTCAGGATGCAAAGCTGCCACACTGATAGACCACCCCCCTCTCCCCTCCCTCCCCATACCTTCTATGGTAAACCCTCTCTGAAGACCCTTCCCCTCTCTGGACTCAGTTTCTTCTTCTGATAAGTACAAACAATCATGCATAAAGGAAACCAACACAGGGACTGGTCAGATTAAATTTAGTAGAAAGAACTCTTCTTCGTGTATGTGTTACACCAGATGGTCTCTGAGGTCCCGCCCAAATCAGGCTCTAGTTCCACAATGCTTACATTGTTCCAGCACTGGGTTATTGTGAGAAAAATGTGCTTTGTAAGCCTTGTGTCAGTATCAAAATAGGTCTTATTGCTAGAATTATTATGAAATATGCCATTGTAGTCCAATCTCACTATTTTTCACATGTGGAAACTGAGGCCCAGAGAGGAGAAGGCTTTGTCAGAGTCACACAAAAAACCAGTGGCAAGGCTGAGGCTAGAACCCAGGTCTCACGACTCCCAGCCAGGGATCTTTCCCCTTCTTTCTTCCTGCTTCCCTGTATCCCTCCAGATGTGTCACCCCCACAAGCCAGATGTTGTCTGATTCCCTTTCCTTTCCAGGGCTGGTTTATTTTGGGTGTCGATGAGCCACCTCTTTCTTACTAATTTTACGCTCCACAGTATGGGCTCTAGTTAACCCTGTTGGGATGAGCTGCAAACATTTCAGAGACTTTGGGAGGTAGTGTGCCCCCTTCCCTTAACTGAAGGCCTTCCAGCATAGATCACTTGTCCAGTGTGATGTAAAGGGGACTACTGCTCAGATACAGGAAGACCTCTAAGGTCCCTTTGAATTCTGAGATTCTGGAAATCTATGAGTTTGGGTAAGGGGAGCACCCAAGGAATGTGCATCTTGGGTCCTTATCTGGGTTTTGCCATCTATGTGACCTTGGGGAAATCACTATTCCCTCTCTGGCCTTTGATGTCTCTTTCCATCACACAAAGACAGGTGTCTTAGCCATTCAGAATATATGGCATTTTCCATTTATTCTGGAATATAAAACCCCTTTTCCCCCATTCTTCAACCACCACCATGCCCCCCAACACACACATACACACACACATACACACACACACACACACACACACACACAGCTGTCTGAAAATTAAGGTAGAGGAGAGACTCAGAATTATACAATCATAAAATCCCAGGGCTCAGAGGGCCCTTAAAATATGGAATGTAGGATGTCAGAACTACAGGGAATCTTAGACATAGAACATAGAATGTCAGATCTGAGAGACAATGGCACTCCACTGAGTTCAACCCCTTCATTTAACTGGGAAACAGGCATGAAGAGGGAAAGGAACATAAATAAGGGAAAGCAAGTCAGTAGCAAACAATTTCCCTTTGTCTCAGGGCACTTCAGCAGGCTAGGGTGCTAGGGGAATTTGGAGTATTGTGGAAAGAACCCTGAGCTGCTGGGAGTCAGGAGATCTGGGTTCTGGTAGTGATTATGCCAGTGACTTGGTATGTGACCTTGGAGAGGTCCTCTTCTGTGCAGCCTTAATAGGTTGTAGAGGAGGTTGACTCTGACAGCATGTTTACATTCCCAGGTCTCTTCTAGTGCCGACATCCTGTGGCCCTGAGGTCTGCTCCAGCTCTGTTCATCTATATTCCGGGTGTTTTAGGGACCCTATTGCCTCTAAATCTCTGTGGCTTCTTTAGAATTTGAAGATTTTATGAATGAAGGGAAAGAGGAGGAAGTTGGATAAAAGGGAATAAGGACAGAACTGAGAAGATGCCAAGGAGATGGGGAAGCAAGGTGGGGAAGGGAGGAAGACCAAACTTGGCCCCCAGAAAACTCTCAGAAGGGACAGCTAGGAAGAGGGCTGTGGCCCATTTTTCTATCCCTGTTGCTCCTGGACAGAACTGTATCAAATCAGAATCTGCTTTGGGGCTACCCTTGACCTAGAAGGCCCCATTCTTCCCTCTCCCTCACCTCCATTCCTCAACGCCTATCTCAAGCCCCCACCTTGACCTCTCCCTTTTTCGAGGCCTCGAAGCCCCCAGTCAGGCTGGGCTAGATCTTTTCTCTCCCACCCATCTTCTCCCCAGCAGAGCCAGGCATTCTGTCAGGCATTGGAGACTCGGGCCAGATCAAGTCACCGACTGACTCCCTAGCATCTCTGTCCTTCCTCTGGACTCAGTGACCTGGGTCAATTCCCTCTTTACAGAGTACAAGGAAGTTGTGTGAGGGTTGGGGGTAGGGGGATACCTACCACTTTGGGGAGCACAGCAGAGATGGCTTCTTTGATGACATCGTGAAGACTAGAGACATCAATGACAGAGCCCAAACTCAGCAGGGCTTCCTAAAAGAGAACAGAGGACAAGAAGCATCACCACAGGGACAGCGCTAGAAGCAGAGTACTAAGGAACCTTTAAATCCGAGCTTCTCAGAACCAGCTCTAGAGCCTAAGAAGGTATCTTGTCTGATTACCCCCTAATCCCCCCCCCCAAAAAAAAACCCAAGGCCTGCTTTCTGTGGACTCTCCTATGGCAGGTCAGCCAGCCTTTTCACACTTTCAAGGCCGAGAAATTTGCTCTTCCCAGGACTGTGACCATTCCACTGAGGAACAGCTCTCATGCTTAGGAAGCTTTGTCTTGCACTGAGCTGAAATCTGGCTCCCTGGGACTTCTTACCGCTCTTAGCTCTACCCTCTGGGGCCAAGTAGATCAAGTCTAATGAGCCCTCCATATCTGCATGGAGAATCCACTTCCCCCCATCTGTAAGTCTCCTAAACATCAGGCTAAACCTCCCCCATCCCTTTAACTGCAGGACATAGTTTCCAGGAAACCTCCCGTCTTGATCACCCTCCTCTGGACACAGTCCAGCTTCTCAGTGCCTTTTCTAAAACCTCCCAGAACCAGAGGCAAAGCTCCAGGTGTGTTCTGACAAGGGCAGAGGACCCCAGGACTATTGCTTCCCTCATTCTGCAGCCTATGTCTCTTTTAATGTAGCCAAAAATTGAATTCAGGGTTTTTTTGACCACCAAGTCAGGCTGGTGACAGATATTGAGCCTGTGGTCAGCAAGTACAGAAAGAAGGACTGCAGTAAATAATCCATGTCTCCCCACCATCACGAAATCATTGATGGTTGATAGATTCTTCATTCATTCGTGGTCACCCCTCACATGTTGTCCTGGATAATCCCAAAGAATATCATTTTTTAAAAACATACTTAATTCATTCCCCCCCCAAAAAACAAAGATTTGGCTTTGGTAGGAAGCCTAGAATTTCCCCCCGATTGGTTTCCTTCCTTGGCTGTGAGCCCCCAACAAGCCTGGGATTCACCCCATTCCAGCAGTGTTTAGAACCAGAGGAAGGGTAACATTTACCAGATTTATGTGTCTTTGTGTGTTTCTAATAATAAAGGGGGAGGAAATAAACATTAATATGGCTCCTGCTAGGCACTGTGCTAAGTGTTTTATGAATATTTTCTCATTTGATCCTCACAACAACCCTGGGAGGTATAAGGTATTATTAGCATCATTTACACAGGAGGACGCTGAGGCAAAGATCAAGTGACTCATCCTAGGTCACACAGCTAGTAAAAATCTGAGATCACATTTGAACTCTGGTCTTCCTTATTCCAAGTCCAGGGTTCTATCCCCTATCCCCCTCCTAGGTGCTTCCTATATGTGGGCTTCTCTAGGAATGTGGTCCAGGGAGGTTCAAATCCAACATTCTCTGTTCTCTACTCCAGTCTCCCATCACGATGGTCCAGACTGGGTCCCGAGAATTTTAGTTAAGTCTTAAGATATAAAGTTTAGGGAACAATTTTCTAGGAAAAGAAAGTCTTCTTCCATCTTCGTGTCTAATATTCAACCCCTGACAGGTGATCTCTGAATCTGACTACCTTTTTTTTCATCCATGAAGAAACCATTGGAAACCAACTCTTGGTGGGGAGGGAGGATGGGGTATGTGGTGACAGGGAGGAGACAAGAAAGCATGAAATCAGGGCTGGATCAGGTCCTAAGATATGGTGAGGGAAGACCATTAGATAAAAGGGCGTATGTTTAACCTGAAGAAGTCTCAAGGGAGATATGATAGCTTTTTTCAAGTACTTCAAAGGCTATCAAATGGAAGATAGATTAGTCTGGGTCTGCTCAGTCCCAGAGGGCAGAACCAGGACCATAGGGGAGAATCTGCAGAGGCAAATTAGACGGTAAGAGGAAAAACAATGAGGGGTGTCCCCAAGGGAGGCATACTGCCTCCAGAGCTGGCAGGTTCTCCTTTAGCAAAAGCTGACCACTTGGATGTGGTGTGGGGGGGGTGGGGCTAGACGGCCGCTGAGCTCCCTTCCAACACTGAAATTCTATGATTTTGTAATACCCTCTTCCTTCTGCCATCACAGAGTCACAGAATTTCAGTGTTGGAAGGGAGCTCAGAGACCTCTATCTAGTAACTATTATGTGCCCAACAAGTTATCAGCGAGCCTCTACTTGAATACTAAATGACAGGGAACTCACAACTTCACAAAATTACCCATTCCATTTTTAAACAACTCTAACCATTATGAAGGATTTTTTGATATCAAATTAAAAATCAGCCTCCATACAATGACCTCTCCTTACCCACTCACCCCAAACCTGCCTTCTGGAGACAAACTAATCTAATCTAATGAGGGCTCAAGGGCTACAGGTCTGAACCCCAGAAGCCAAGCTGGCATGGGGACCAGGAAAATCTAAGAGGTGTAGGAATCTTAAAATGGGGCCCATGGGAGTTTATAGAGCAGTGAAAGTTCTGGGTCTAAAGAAGAGAAGTTAATGATCTAGGAAGCTGAGTGTAGATAAGTAAGACCATATGTTGAGGGCAACCTGCAAATACCTGGTCCTCAGTTCACAAAGCAGCATCTTCAAATACTCAAGCATGGGATGGAGTAGGACCAGCTACACAACAATTCAAGGGAAAAACTCTCAGGGGTCTTAAGGGACCACAACCTCAATAAGCCAAGAGTCTAATCTCACTTCTAAAAACAAAAAGGTAACCTTGGCTTTCATTCATAGACGCACAGTATACAGAACATAGACTGTCTTTTTCTCTGATCAGACCACATCTGGTGTGATCTGACACTTCCTTCAGTTCTGGGTCCACACTTTAAGAGGGACCCTGAGGAGTTTAAAAGTCTCCATCACTTCACTAAGTAATCAGGCCCCAAAGTACAAGGACTACAATAATGTAAAGAAAATCAATATTAAAACCAGAACTCTGCATTTCAATGACCAATCTTCATTGTGAAGAACCATGGTAAAAGGGACTCCCTCCTCTCAACAGAAAGGTGGTACACCATAAGTGCAGAATGAGGCTCACAGTGTCAGATAAAGCCTATGCCTTGCTGTGTGTGCCTAACAGGGGGGACTCTATGTGGGGGAGAAGGTATGTATTGAGAAGTGACAAGAAAATATTTTAAAGTATCAATACACCATTTTTAGACTGTCCAGAAGAAGGTATCTAGCTAGGTCAAAGAGTATGGCCCAGACTTATAAGAGGCATTGGTAGCTGAGCCTAGAACCTTTCTTGGGAGAACTAAGGAACAGAGTTTCTCAATTCATCTTCCCCCTTGAGACAAGCTTAATATAAAGGCTTGTAATACCTAACTCAGGGCAGCTAGGTAGAGTGCCAGCCCTGGGGGTCAGAAAGACCTGTGTTCAAATCCAGCCCCAGACACTTACTAGTTGTGCATCCTGGGCAGGTCACTTAAGCCTGTTTGCCTCAGTTTCCTCATCTATAAAATGAGTTGGAGAAGGAAATGGCAAACCACTCCAGTATCATTGCCAAGAAAACACCAAATGGGTTCATGAAGGGTCGGACACAATTAATTGATTAAAAAAAAAAACCTAACTCACAGAATTCTTGTGAGGAATGAGTGTTTTGAAAACCTTCCAGAAATGAAGTTATTATTATGAGGCATTACTAATTCCCCATTTTGCAGATGGGGACCCTGAGGCCCACAGAGGAAGTGATTTGGCCAAAGTGATACGACAAATAGGTGGCAGCTCTGGGATTAGAACTCAAGTCTTCTGACTCCAAGTTCTTTTTTGTTAGTTAGTAAAGAAAAAAAAAAATACAACCCTTTATTGAAACATCTAGAATTAACCCTAGAGGGACCAGGCAAATCAATTGTGTCAAATGCCACAAGAATTTTCTAAATAAATTTTTATAACTTACTATAATTTCCTCTATATGTGCAAATGAACTTTATTTATTGGGAGGGATGCAATTGGGGTTACATGACTTGCCCAGGGATACATGGCTAGTAAATATCTAAAGCTGGATTTGAACTCAGGTACTCCTGACTCCAGGGCCAGCACTCTATCTGCTGCACCATTCAGCTGCCCCAAAATATGCTTTAAATACAAATAATTACAAGCAGATATTAAAGTTCTACTTTGAAATAAAAATGTTCATCCTGCTATCTCTAGTATGTGCAAATACACTGTGTCAATTGAGGCAGCTTGGACCCGCAAGGTATTCTTAAATTAAGGACCTTCAAGAATCATTAAAATATGTAGTAATTAAGTATATAATTCTTACAGAAAAAAGTCATAAAAGAAAGAAATGCCCCACGTATATTTTGGTAAGAGTCTCTTTCATTTAATTATATTCCCAGTGCTCTTTCAACTACACTTCAAATCCTCCTTAATCTATGGGAAGTCTCCTTTTGAACCTCCAACTGGACAGGAAAGGGATGAAATGAAGCAAAAGCAGTCACTTCTGAATTCACCCCACCTATCTGGGCAAGATTCTAAACAACCCTATCTCTTCTCTCTCTGAGGCCACTTTATACACAAAAAGGCTGGCAAGATGCCAGGGAATAATGATAATCATAATAGCTAGCATTCATATAGGGCCTACTATGTGCTTGGCACTGTGCTAAGCACTTTACAAATATTACCTCATTTGATCCTCACAACAAGCCTGTGAAGTATGTGCCATTATTACTCTCATTTTATAGCTGAGGAAACTGAAATAAAACAGAGATTAAATGACTTGCCCAGGGTCACACAGCTAGGAAACGTCTAAGACTGGATTTGAATTCAGGTCTTCCTGACTACAGGCCCAGTACTCTGTCTACTGCCAATTCTACAATATAATGTAATTAATATAATAATATAGTACAACTAGGAAAGGAAAAGAATGAGAATCTAAACTTTCACGCTCCCAATATTAAACAGGAGGCCCTGAATAAATGTTTGATAAATGAATGAATGTGTTTTTCCACAAGAGAAGGCATACCATTTCTTTTAGGTACTGAGGAAAGTGGAGTGAACACTACATGGGAAAAAAGTTTGAAGAAGCAGGGACTGTT